GGAGGAGGAGGAGGAGGAGGAGGAAGAGGATGAGGAGGAAGGAGGGCGAGGAGGAAGAGGAAGAGGAGAAAGAGGAGAGGAGGAGGAGGAGGAGGAGGGCGAGGAGGGAGGAGGAAGAGGAGAAGGAGGAGGAGCAGAAGAGGGGAGGGCGGGAAGAAGAAGGGAGGAGGCACTCGACGGATCTCAACACGGGTCTTCAGCCGTGCCCAGGAGGCAAGCGAGCAGACGAAGCGAGGGGTCCTCGTGGCATCCTCGCGCCAACTTCTCAGGGATCCACGATGGAAGAGGCTGCCCACAACCAGCATCGAGCGATGGAAGCGATGCAACTTTCGTGGAGGAGGTGAGGGGCAGTACTTGAGCAGAGGGCCACATACCAAATGATAGCCAGAGCCAAGTGCGTATCCCCAAACAGCGCTTTTTGACCCCAGGTGGCTCCTAAGAGCGTTCGTGCGTCATCCTACTCCTGATCCGCCTGCGCCTTCGGTGTCGTCGTCGAGCTTCTCGTCATCGTCGTCGTCCTCCTCCACATCCACGTCATTATCCCTCTCGGTCTCGCCATCCCTCACTTTCACTCCTCCTCCTCCTCCTCCACCTCCTCCTCCTCTCCTTTCCACTCCTCTCCTCTCCTATCCTCTCTTCTCGTCTCCTCTCCTCTCCTCTACTCTACTCTCCTCTCCTCTCCTCTCCTCTCCTCTCCGCTCCTCTCCTCTCCTCTCCTCTCCGCCTCCTCCTCCTCATCCTCCTTCTCCTTGTCTGATGGTTCACACTATTTCTCTGCATTCGTATCAGTGTTGTACTCCTCGTATTATTAATAGTATTCCTACTGTCATTACGATTAGTAGTAGTAAGATCCCTCTTCGTATTATTGTGTGCTTATCATTCTTGTTCGTATGGTAAGTTTTCTTGTTAGTCGTAGTGGTATTAGTGTGATTCGTCGCATTATTGTTCTTAGTACTATTATTCCTCCTCCTCCTCCTCCTCCTCCTCCTCCTCCTCCTCGCAATGCTCCTCCTCCTCCTCCTCCTCCTCCCTCTCCCTCCTCCTCCTCCTCCACTTCCTCCTCATCGTCATCCTCCTCCTCCACCTCCTCTCCTCCTCCTCCTCCTCCTCCTCCTCCTCCTCCTCCTCCTCCTCCTTGTCCCTCCTCTCTTACGCGTCCTCTGCCATCCCAGGGATGCCTTCGCCTTCGATGCCGTTTCCAGGAGGTACCCTCGCCAGGGATGCCCTCAAACAGGTAGGTTGGGCCTGGCCCCATCTCCCTCCTCCGCTCTTCCTCTTTCCTCCTCCGTTTCTCCCCTCCCATCCAGCCTCATTCCGTTCTCCCCGCGCTCTCGCTCGAGGCATGCCCACGAGTTGCTCAAGAGCGGCTCCTCCCTACGAAGCCCCTTCACGTTTACAAAGAGTCGTGATCGCGCCTCGGCGCCGGCCACCTCATCCGTGGGGCCGGGGGCACCCAGACCCCTCCCAGAGCACAATTCGACAACAGAAGTGACATCACATGGTTCGGTTCGGTCTGACCCCTCCTCCCTCCTCCCTCCCCCCTCCTCCCTCCTTCCTCCTCCTTCCTCCTTCATCCTCCTTCCTCCTCCTTCCTCCTCCCTCCTCCCCCCCCCCTCTCGGAGCTCAGAGTTTCGAGGATGTCTCAGGCGAAAGGGGCCCGACCACCTCGCGCGCAGCATCTCGGAGCCCCAGAACGCCAGGACGTCTCAAAAGCGAAACGGGCTGGACCACCTCGCGCGCGACATCTGGGAGCTCAGAGTTGTGAGGTTATCTCAGGCGACGCCCAGATTCGACAAAAGAAGTGGAATCAAATGGTTCGCCTGGGTCTGACCCCTCCTTCCTCCTCTCTCCTCCCTCTCGGAGCCCAGAATTTCGATGAAGTCTCGCGAGAAACGAGCTGGACCACCTCGCGCGCGACATCTGGGAGCTCAGAGTTGCGAGGATGTCTCAGGCGACGCCCAGACCCCTCTCAGAGCACACCTCGACAACAGAAGTGGAATCAAATGGTTCGTTTGGTCTGACCCCTCCTCCCTCCTCTCTTCTCCCTCTCGGAGCCCAGAATTTCGAGGATGTCCCAGGCGAAACGAGACAGACCACCTCGCGCGCAGCGAGCCCCGAATTGCGAGGATGTCTCAAGCGAAACAAGCCAGACCACCTTGCGCGCATTTTCTCAGAGCCCAGAGCTGCGAGAATATCTCAGGCGAAACGGGCTGGACCACCTCTCGCGCGGCATCTCGGAGCCAAGAGTTGCAAGGATGTCTCAAAAGCGAAGCGGACTGGACCACCTCGCGTGTGACATCCGGGAGCTCTAAGTTGCGAGGATTTCTCTGGCAAAATGGGCTGAAACACCTCTCGCGCAGCATCTCGGAGCCCAAGATTGCGAGGATGTCGTAGGCGAAATGCGCCAGACCACCTCTGGCGCGGCCTCGTAGCTCAGAGTTCCAGTTTCGAGGACGTCTCAATGTCTCAAGGGAAACGCCTAATCCAGGCCAACTCGGAAACGAGAGTTGGCAGGATGTTGCAGGCGAAACGGCCCAGGCCACCTCATTTGTGTTGAGGATGTCTCTGGTTCAGCCTCCCGGGGTCAGAACTACCTTCTATCACAACAGCACCCCGTTCAACAAACTGTTTAGAGAAAAAGCAGACAACCCGAGCACAAAAAGATGCGCACACTGAACTAGATGCATGGGTATGAGTTGAATATGTGCGCGCGTACACAGAACTATCTGCATGGATATGTATATGAGACCCGACGTCTTAGAACAGCAACGCGGTGTGCGCCAGGAACGAAGCCAACCAAACAACCAGCCTGCCTGCTTCTATCCCGTATGTCCTCCACTCCTAGCCTCCCCTGTAAGCCGGGCTTGCAGGGCTGTCTTGAGCTGGCCTGGCTGGACTGGTTGGGTAATTAGGCCTTTGGGGCCGGCTAGGCAGACTATGCTGGCTGGGCTGGCTGAGCAGGCTTGGCGGGCTCGCTGGGCTGGCTGTGCCTGCGCTTGCGAGGCTGGCTGGCCTGGCCTGGCCTGACCAAGTTGGGCGGGCCAGAGCGGGCCCGCTGGCTGGGCCATGCTGGCCGAACTGGCTGGGTCAGCAGGAGAGGCTGAGACAGCGGGGCAGGCTGGGCAAGCGGGCCTGGGCTGGAGGCGCTGCCTGTGGGCTGGCGCTGAGCTCGCTGTGCTGGCCAGGCGGGCGCACTCGGAATGAGCTGTCTGCTGACAACACTGGCAACGCGATGCGCATCAGAAAGCAAGGCAGCGCAAAGCGCACAGGCTACGCTCAGAGTGAGCTTCCCGGCAGCAACGCTGGCAGCACAAAGCGCACAGGCTGCAAGCCAAGACGGTTGCAGACAATTTCCTGCCGACGTCGCTGTCAATGCGATGCACGCAGCCGCAAGCCGAAACGCTCGAATGAGCTTGCTGGCATCCACGTAGCAGCAGTGCTGGAAACGTGAAGAGCATCAGAAGCGAACCGGCGCGCGCGGAATGAGCGTCCTGCCTAAAATACCGTTAACACGATGTGCCGGCCACGATACAGCTTCCACGGAGTGGGCTTCAAGGATTTAAAAGTGGCAACGCAATGTGCATCATGACCGAGCCAGCACGCACGCGAAGCTCACTGGCACACTGGAAGCAAACGGGAGGGACATGGTTGGCGCACCAGCCCAAGGCCCCTTAGTGAGGGAGCTGCTCTAGCAGACGGCGTACCCTCTAGGCCAGCCCAGGTTGGGAATCAATGCACTCGGTTCATTGTCGGGGGGGTATCTTTGCAGACGGATTGCTCTCCCCCTCATCCCCCTCCTGCTCCTCCTACTTCTCTGCCGTCGCCGCCGCCGACGCCTTCTCCTCCTCATCCTTCTCCTCCTCCTCCTCCTCCTCCTCCTCCTCCTCCTCCTTCTCCTCCTCCTCAATCCCACCCCTCTCATCATCCTCGTCCTCACTCGCCCTCCTCGCCTCCTCCTCCTTCCTCCTCCTCCTCCTTCTCCTCCTCCTCCTCCTCATACTCCTCCTCCTGCTCATCCTCATCCCTCTTCTTCTCCTCCTCCTCCTCATCATCATCATCACCACCAACACCACCACCAGCAGCAGCAGCATCATCAGCATCATCAGCATCATCATCAGCATCAGCATCATCAGCAACATTATCATCCTCATCAGCAGCATTATCATCATCAGCAGCAGCAGCATCACCATCATCAGCATCATCATCAGCATCATCATCAACAGCAGCAGCATCACCATCGCCATCATCATCATCATCCACATAATCAGCATCGTCGACGTCATCATCAAAAGCAGCATCATCAGCATGCTCAGCATCAGCAGAAGCATCAGCAGCAGTATCGTCATCATCCTCATCATCACCACCATCATCATGATCATCATGGGCAGCAGCATCATCATCCTCATCATAATCATCAGCATCAGCATCATCATCGGCATCCTGATCAACATCATCAGCAGCATCATCAGCATCGTCGATCATCATCATCGTCAGCATCATCAGCATCGGCATCAGCATCATCATCACCATCAACATCACCAGTATCGGCATCATCATCAACATCATCATGATCATCAGCATCGTCATCATCGCTCCTCATCTGCTTATCATGATCATACTCATGTGTATCATCATCACCATCAGCATCATCACCATCACTATGATCTACTCATCCTCATCTGCATCATCATCCTCGCCGTCAGCATCATCATGATGATCATCATCATCATCATCCTCATCATCATCACCACCATCATCATCATCAGCATCAGCAACATTATCATAATACTTCTCCGGCCCATCCCCCATACCCGCCCATCTCTTCATCATCCTCCCCATCCTCCTCTCCCCCTCTCCTCCTCCCTCTCCTTGCTCGCCCGCCATTCCCAAACCCTCGAGAACAGAAGGGGGGGTCGGGAGGCCCAGGAGCGCCCCTGCCATCGTGGGACCCGGGCTACAGGGGCGTCGGAAGCGCCCACGCGCCCCGCAGGCCGCCCGCGCTAGGGCTCGTCCGACGTCCAGGCGGGCGTCTCGTTCTCCTTCAGCTTCTCGATCAGTGCCTGCGATTCGGCGACCCCGCTCCCTCATCCCCCTCCCTCCTCCTCTGCCTATTCCTCCTCCTCATCCTGCTCCTCCGTCCCCATGACCTCCTCATGAAGATGGCCTCCCTGTCCCACCCCGAGGCGTGTCGGTAGGGCGGGCTGGGCGTTTCGCCTGGGACTTCTCGCAATGTAGGATCGTGGCACTTGAAAATTTGCAACAGCTTCACGGATGGAGGGGCGGGTGGTCTTCAAAATGTGGTTCTCGCCTCAGCGCCGCGCACATTCGTTTCAAAAGTGTGCCAGAGATTCACGGATGGAGCGCGGATCGCTCGCACCCTCGTCATACAGATTTGCAAAGAGTTTCCTGGCGAGGGCGGGTGGTCTTCGAAGTGTGGCTCTCGCCCTGGCGCCGCGCACGCTCGTCTTAACAATGTGTAGGAGCTGCACGGATGAATGGCGTCTTTTTCAGCATGTGGCTCTCGCTTGAGCCCCGCGTACGTTCGTTGTAAGAGTTCACAACAGCTTCGAAGAATAGTATGGTGACAGTCCTAGGATGCTGTTCTGGCACAATGTCGGACCGTCAGGGCGCAACAGTTACCTTGATTTGTGATGTTGAACTGCAAAGTGCGGTGTTCTAGCGAGCTTCAGGCTTGTCAGGACGCAAGAGGAAAGGCTATCCGCGGCGATGAAGTCCCAGAACAAAAAAAAAAAAACAAAAAAAAAAAAAACGTTATGGCACAACGCTGGATGTTCAAACAGTCTTCGTCCAACGGGGCACTTCCCTTAGTGAAAGTGAATCCGTGTAGGGACATTTGAAGGGAACTTGGAGGGAGGGTTTGATGCAACATCGTTGGTGACTCTTCGGTGTGCGCTGGTCCTTCTCCTCCTCGTCCACCTCCCACCACTTCCTCCGCCAACGTCCTCCTCCTCCTCCTGCTCCTCCTCCTCCTCCCCCGCCTCCTCAATTCCTTCTCCTTGTAACAAACTTCTCCCTGTCGCACCCCGAGGCCAGTTTTTAGGGCGGGCCAGGCGTCTCGCCTGAGACTTCTTCACCACTAATGATTCTGAAGCTGAAAAATTGGCAACGGTTTCGCAGATGAGGGCACGTCGTTTTCAAAATGTGGCTCTCGCCTTAGCGCGGCGCACATTCATTTTCAACATTTGCAGAAGAGCTTCACGGATTGAGGGCGGGTGGTTTTCAAAATGTGGCTCTCGCCCTAGCGCGGCGCACATTCGTTTGAAAAATTGCAGGAGAGCCTCACTGATTGAGGGCGGGTGGTTTTCAAAATGTGGCTCTCGCTTTAGCGCAACGCACACTCGGTTTAAACAATTGCAAGGGTTTTACGGATTGAGGGCGGCTACTTCTCAAAATGTGGCTCTCGCCGTAGCGCCGCGCACACGCGCTTACCAAAATTTGCAAGGGCTTCACGGATTCCCATCATCAGCGTACCAGAAATGGTGTTCTGGAAAGATTCAGGATTATGTGGGCGCAACAGTTACGTTGATTCTCTGTTTTGAAGTCCTAGGAGTGGCGTCCTGGCACGATTCAGGATCGTCAAGATGCAACAGTCAGGTTGATCCGTGGCGTTGGAATCCCGAGAACAATGTCTTGGCATGCTTCAGGGTCTTCAAACGGGTGTCTTCCAACGAGGCAGTTCCATCAATGGAAACGAACCGTTGTAGGGGCCTATGAAGAAGGAGCTTGGAGGGAGGGTTTACTCCAACATCGTTGGCGACTCTTGGGTTTACACTGGTCCTTCGCCTCCTCCTCCTCCTCCTCCTCATCCTCCTCCCATTTCCCCTCCTCCTCATCATCATTCCTCTCCTCCTCCTCCTCCTCGCCCTCCCCACCATCATCATCATCGTCATCATCATCATCACCATCATCATCAGCAGCATCATCATCGTCATCAGAAAAATCAGCAGCAGCACATATATCATCATGGTCATCACTGGAATCAACAACAACAGCAGCAGCAACAACAACATCAACAACAACAATAACAATCATTTTACCCGAACGCGTGGTGTTCTCCCCAGTGCCAGGGTTTTCATACGACACCAGGCAATACCCCCACTTCGTGGGGGGGCATTACAAGCTCTACCAAATATCCAAACGACTCTTCGCGACCACCCAAACCCAGCTTCCCGCCCTATGACGTTGGGACACTTCACTTCGTGGCGTGCGGACGACCGTGGCTACTACACTGGCGTGGGGTACACACCCACAGAACTTGGTCACTTATTCGGGGCGCGCATGTGCCCAGCATGGTGCAATTGTGCCATACAATACATAATACAGAGAGACTTCGGTTTTTTTGGAGATTTCGGCGTGCGCGCGCAACAAAAGAATGTGTCCCGCATGGTATTATTTGACAGGGATGATGGCCCTGGCAGGTGCGCAACCGTTGTCGCAGAAGTTCGAAAAAGTTGCTCGCAAAAGCCCGTTTGACAGAAATGTTTAAAAAGTGTTGGGTTTTCCTACGAATCCGCAAGAGCGCGCGGGATGAGATTTTGACATTTTTTTGTTGAAAAACCATTGGTTTTTTGATGTTTTTATGTTAAAATCGCTCCGAACACTAAGCTTTTGGAAGGATTTCGTCTTGCGCGCGCGAATGTCCACTTTACCTTATTTTTTGCAAGGGATTCTTGAAATTTGATTATATTAGAACAAGAAATGTAATTTTATAGTGTTTTTTGCAAGGGAAAACGGATTACAACAAAACAACCGGATCTTGATGACATCGTATTACCTGAGGCTTCCTCACGAAAATGATGAAAATGTAGCTGCGGCCTAGGCGGCGCAGGGGGGCCGTGCACCAGGGGCCCCAACAATAATTATTCTTTAGAATTAATAATGTTCAACAGCAACAGCAACAACAACAGCAGAAGCAACAATCACAACGACGACGTCGACGCAAACGACAACGACAACGACAGCAACGACAGCCTGACAGCAACAACAACAACAACCACAACCACAACAATGACAACCACAAACGCAACCACAACAACAACATCATCATCGTCACCAGCATCAATATCACCAGCAGCATCATCACCGTCGTCGTCAACATGATCATCACCACCAACAACATCATAATCATCATTAGCACCATCATCAGCACCACCATTAGTTGAATCACCCTCATCAAAATCGTCAGGATCCTCATCACCATCATCATCAGCTTCATCAGCATCAGCATTATCCCATCATCATCAGCATCGTCATTATCATCATCATCATCATCATCATTATCATCAGCATCATCATCATCATCATCATCATCATCAGCAGCAGCAGCATCATCCTCGCCATCAGCATCAGCATCATCATCGGCATCATCATCAACAGCAGCAGCAGCATCGTCATCATCCGCATCATCATCATCATCATCATCAGCAGCAGCAGCAGCATCATCATCATGGGCAGCAGCAGCATCATCATCGGCATGACCATTATCACCAGCAGCATCATCATCACCAGCAGCATCATCATCACCAGCCTCATCATCATCAGCATCATCATGGGAATCATCACCACAATCACCATCACCATCACCATCACCATCACCATCGCTATCAGCATTACCATCACAATCGTCACCATCACCACCACGACCATCACCACCACCATCATCCGCCCTCTCCCTCTGCCCCCGCCTCCCCCGCCTCCACCTCCCGCTCCTCTCCCTCCTCCTCCTCCTCCTTCTTCTCCTCCTCTTCCTCATCATCCTCATCCTCATCACCCTCAACCTCCCCCTCATCCTCATCCCCCTCAACCTCATCATCCTCATCATCCTTATCCTCACCCTCTCCCCCATCATCTTCATCCCCCTCAACCTCTCCCTCCTTCCCATTCCTCCTGCTGCTGCTGCCGCCCGGGGGCCAGCCGACCCTGGCGCTGGGCCTCCTCCCTGGCGACCTCCTCCTCCTCCTCCTCCTCCCCCTCCTCCTTCTCCTCCTCCTCCTCCTCCTCGTCCTCCTCCTCCTCCTCCTCCTCCTCCTCCTTCTCCTGCGCTCCCCACCGCCTCCTCCCTGCTGCCTGCCTCTGCCTTCCCACCTGGCGCGCGGCCTCTGCCACTCTCGACAAGCTGGCAATGGGCCCTCGCTCCCTCGCTCGGGATCTGGAGCCAGATCCTCCTTCGGGCCCCTCCCCCCCTTTTACACACACCTCCTCTTGACCACCGGCTCCCCGGGGTGAAGTTCTCTCTGCTCGTGCCGATGGAAGCCGCCCTAATGGCGCTGGAGCAATTAGATGGTCTCGGAGGATGGCGCCCCGCATCCCCAGTGTAGCCGCGAGGCGTCGGCGACGCCGTGGTGGAGAGAGTCGGGCTCGGGATCGCGCCGCACGGCCGACGCCTCGGCGCTGCGGCGCCAGCCTCGGACCCCTCGGCTCGGGCCCCCTTTGGGCGGCCTGGCCTCGAAGCGAGGCAGGCGAAGCGGGTCCGGCGAGGCAAGGCCCGGCGAGGCGAGGCGAGACCTCGACGGCGCGTCGGGCGAAGCGAGTCTCGGGCCCCAAATCCAGGTCCAGACCCTCCTGCCCCTGGGGCCCGAAGTTGGGGGGTCAGGAAATTCCGAGAAGACCCGTCTGGGTGTCCCGTCCAGTTTTCTCACGACGACGGAATGGGAACCGGGAACGCCCCCATGCTCTCAGAAGTGCTCGGCTGGAGGAGGAGGACGACGAGGAGGAGGAGGAGGCGGAGGAGGAGGAGGAGGAAGACGACAAGGAGGAGGGGGAGGGGGAGGGGGAAGGGGAAGTGGAGGGGAAGGAGGAGGAGGAGGAGGAGGACGAGGACGAGGACGAGGAGGAGGAGGAGGAGGACGAGGACGAGGAGGAGGAGGTGAGGAGAGGAGGAGGAGGAGGAGGAGGAGGGGAGGGGGGGAGGAGGAGGGAGGAGCGGCGCAGGCTCCGAAGCAGTGCCCAGTGCGTGAAAGCCTCCGTCCAGCTCGCACGCGAACGCGGGGACGGGAAACGGAGCGAAGGCCTCCCCGATAGGGGGCCGGGGCAGGAGGGGATCGGAGAGGATCGCGCCGCAGCGCCGACGCACTGGAGCAGCAGGGCGACCCCCTGATCCCATCTGCTCCGGCTCCAGCTGGGCGGCCTGGAAAGAGAGGGAGCAGGAGGAGCAGGATGAAGAAGAGACGGAGGATGGGGGAGGGGGAGGGGAGGGGGTGGGGGAGGGGGGGGAGGGGGGAGGGGAGAGGGGGAATGGGAGGGGGAGGGGAAGAAGAGAGAGGAGGAGGAGGAGGAGGAGGAGGAGAAGGGGGAGGAGGAGAAGGGGAAGGGGAAGTGGGGGGACGAGGAGCGCGCTCACCAAGAGAGAGGACAAGCCAAGATGAGCAGAGAAGGAGAAAAAAAGAACCGCCGGTCACCGAGTTACAGGCGGCCCGGATTAGTAGGTCGACCCTACCAGATCAAGGGTACCCTCGTGTCCTGTGTCTTGCGACCCGTGCCTCTTGCATTTCTGTGGCAACGTGCCCCTCGGAAGGGTCTTGTGTCCTCTCGCGTGTCCTCTCCAATCAAGTCCGACTGCAAGCAGCTCGATCAGCAGTGCTCGGACAAGCGCGCACAATTTGGCTGCACGACTGCAGAGAAGGAGGAGGAGGAGGAGGAGAAGGCTGGCAGCTGACCCCCTAGCTCCGCCAGGGATGCAGACGCGGCTCCACCGCACCCAGCCCCAGAGGAACCCCCGGCTGGGGTTGCTGGCCTGCTGCCCTGCTAGCGCCTGCCCGAGAGCGAAAGTGTCGGCCACAACCTGGCGAGAGGACTTACTGCCAGTACTTCACCTGGGCTCCTGAAGTGCTCCACTCTCCCCGCTCCGTCCCCCACCATCCAGCCCCAACCGACCCCCAAGACGCCAAGCTCAAGGTTTGGACTTTCTTGCCTGGCGCACGCCATGACAGCACAAGCTAGGAGAGGGCAGCATCTTGCGAAGCTACCCTTGGTTGGCAGCCCCGGTGTGAGCTTAACGGGGCAAGGGGGTGGCGCAAAGCCGATCCCAAGAGCTGTGCATGGCATCTAGTACGCTCCTGGCTCGCTATACCGTGCCTGTGCAGAGATGCCCTACGAAAATGGCCCTGGTCGTTTTGAGTCCGCCTCCAACCCCACGCCTGCACACTCCACTCCTCATGTGATTGCCACGCCTGCCTAACGATTAACAACATGACGGGGAGGGTGAAATAGCAAAAGGGGAAATGTGAAGGACAACAGAGTCGAACAATCTGAATGCTTACGGTGGTCTCTACACACGCTACGGCTACGATCCACAAGACGGGAAGCGCCGGAAGGGGGTCTCTCCCATTTCCCCATCTTAAATATTAGATAGTACCATACCAATGTGCATTCAACCGCTGCTTGCCAACCACATGACTGAGATGCCAGGTGAACGAGTTATCGAATTGCAATGCGCTGGTGCTCCCACATAGCTAGTGCGTCAGCAGCGTGACAAAACTGCTCTGGAAGGAGGAAAGGAGGAGGAGCAGAGGGAGGAGGAGGAGGAGGGGGAGGAGAATGCTCTGGGAGGAGGAGAGGGAGGAGGAGGAGAAGGAGGAGGAGGAGGAGGAGGACAGGGAGGAGGAGAAGAAGGAGAAGGAGGAGGAGGAGGAGGAGGAGGAGAAGGAGGAGGGGGGGAGGGAGGGAGGGATGAAGGGGCACGAGGAGAGAGAGAGCGCAAGGCCGACGGCGAAGGTCGCTCCGCGCCGAGCCACGCGGCCGCGGCCGCGCGCCAAGGCTCAGCGGGCACATCGGAGGACAAAGACGATGACGGGGACGACGACGACAACGACGACGACGACGACGACGACGACGACGACGACGACGACGACGACGACGACGACGACGACGGCTTCGGCAACGACGACAACGACGACGACGACGACGACGAGGCCTCAGCGCCTAAGTCGGCCATAGCGCCTACATCGGTTTCAATGTCGTGCTGAATGTCATGCCATCCTGACGCTACGATCCCAGTGGATCTAAGTCTGTCTGGCGTCAAAAGAGGAGGACGAGGACTCGTTCTCCTTCGTGCCGCCCCCCGCCCTGTCGCTCGCCCGCCTCCGCCAGCGAACCCGCCCCTCACCCCTGACACGGCGCGGGGCGCAGGGCGGACCACCCTCGAGACCGCCCCCCCCCCTCTCCCCGCCAGCCGGCGGACGCCGCCCGGGAGGGCGCGGCTCCGACCACAGGAGGAGCGCGGCGGCGGAGGGAGCCCCCCCCCCCCCTCGCGAGTCGAGCTCGGGCCCGAACTCTCGAACTCTCACCCCCGGGCGGGAGTTCGACTTTGGAGCCCGGGCCCGCACTCGAAGCTTCGAGCTGTCGCTCCCGAACCCTCGACGGCGCCGCGCTCCGCCCCGACGGCCGCGGCGCGCGGCCAGGCGGGGGGCAGCTGGAGGGAGCGAGATCGGAGGGCGGCGGCCCGCGGAGGGCCCTGAGGCCCGCCGCCGCGCTGACCGCCGAGAGGCCAGCGGGCGGGGCGGCCGCGGGGGCCTTCTGCTCCCGCTCCGCGCGCTCCAGCGAGCTGAGCTGGAACTGCAGCCGCTCGAGCTCCGCGGTCTGAGGCCGCTCGAGTTCCTCCTCCTCCTCCTCCTCCTCCTCCTCCTCCTCCTCCTCCTCCTCCTCCTCCTTCCTCCTCCTCCTCCTCCTCCTCCTCCGCCTCCTCCAACTCCTCCTCCTCCACCTCCTCCTCCGCCTCCTCCTCCTCCTCTCCTCCTCCGCTCATCTTCCTCCTCCTCCTCCTCCTCCTCCTCCTCCTCCTCCTCCTCCTCCTCCTCCTCCTCCTCCTCCTCCTCCTCCTCCTCCTCCACCTCCGCCTCCTCCTCCTCCTCCTCCTCCTCCTCCTCCTCTCCTCCTCCATTCCTCTTCCACATCCTTCCTCTTCCACATCCTCCTCCTCCTCCTCCTCCTCCTCCTCCATTCCTCTTCCTTATAGATAACTTCTCCCTGTCGCACCCCGAGGCCAGTTTTTAGGGCGGGCCGGGCGTTGCGCCTGAAACTTCCTCACACTTTGCGATTCAGAAGCTTCAAATTTGGTAGCAGCTTCACAGATGGAGGGCGGGTCGTTTTCAAAATGTGGTTCTCGCCTTAGCGCGGCGCACATTCGCTTTAACAAATATGCAACAGCTTCACGGATTGAGGACGACACGTTTTCGAATTGTGACTCTCGCCATAGCGCAGCGCACTCTCGTTAAAAGACACGAGAGCTTCACGGATTGAAGGCGGGTGGTATTCAGCGCCGCGCACATTCGCTTTTGCAAGAATGCAAAAGCTTCACGGATTGAGGGCGACCCGTTTTCAAAATGTGGCTCTCGCCTTAGCGCTGCGCACATTCGTTTCAACAGATACGCAAGAGCTTCACGGATTGAGGGCGACCAATTTTCCAACTGCGACTCTCGCCTGAGCGCACATTTGTTAAAAAATAACCAAGAGCTTCACGGATTGAGAGCAGCTCCTTTTCAATATGTGGTTCTCGCCATAGCGCCGCGTAAATTCGCGCACAACATGTGCACGAGGTTCACGGATTTCTAACAGCAACGTACCAGATATGGCGTTCTGGAAAGAGTCAGGATTATGCGGGTGCAACAGTTACGTTGGCTTGCAATGGCGTCCTGGCGCGATTCTCGATCGTCAAGGCGCAACAGTCAGGTGATCCGTGGCGTTGGAATCCCGAGAAAAGTGTTTTGGGATGCTTCAGGGTATTCAAACGGTTGTCTTCCAACGAGGCAGTTCCCTCAATGAAACTGAAACGCTGTAGTTGCCTATGAAGAGGGCGCTTGGATGGAGGGTTCACTCCAGCATCGTTGACGACTCTTGGGTTTACATTGGACCTCATCCTCGTCCTTCTTCTCCTCCTCTTCTTATTACTAGCTGCATTATTCTCACAAGTCTAAACAGCATTGTTGTTGTATGTAGTAAACGTTCTGCTATTAGTAGTATTATTAGTGTCACTAGTCTTGATAATGTGCCTTGTTTTATTATATGTTCATTAATATGTTTATTCGTATCGGCATTATTCGTCTTATTGTTTTGATCATTAACAATAGTGGCCTGAGTGCTCTGAATAATCTTATTCTCAATGGTCGTACTATTCGTATGATGATGAGAATTATGACTACTGTTATCGTTATAACTGATATCATTACTCGTCCCCCTCCTCCGCCTCCTCATCCTCTGCCTCATTATCCTCCTCCTCCTCCACCTGGCCTCCCTCCTTCGAGAGGAGTTCCAGCAGACCGCGTCTAGGCGTTCCTGTGGTTTGCCTCGCTTGCGAGACCTGGTCGGTGCAGCGTCTGTCGTGGGCTCCCTGACGCACGTGGCGATGCAGCAGGACGTACGACGTAGGACAGAAGAACATCCTTCGAGAACATGAGACCCTCAGCCGGCACAAAGTGAAGAACACCTTCCCCCAGGATGCACAAGAGCATCCAGCATGCACGAAGAACATCAGGGCACCCCTCCCCGAACCAACCTCGATCTTGCACTTCGGTCCGACCGTAGACTGGCGGCATCGCCAACGGCTGCTTCCCATTGTTTCCACAAGGCATGCCACTCTCAAATCAGTTAAGGGAGTTCTTGTGGAACTCACGTCATCCTGACCCCCTGCGCGTGAGGCAATGGCCCCGCCGACCGCCCCCCCTGTTCAGTTTCTGGTGAGATCCGGGAAATCCTGCGACTCCGGCGAATCTCGCGACGAATTCCATTCTCAGAAAAACCAGCCCCCGGAACCTCCCCAAAGAGGCCCTCAAAGGCCCCCCTGTTCCATTTCAAATGAGATCCGGGAAATCTGGTGAATCTGCGGAATGGCGGAGCCCCTGGATTCCTTTTCTTGAGCCAAACGGTTTCGGTAACCATAATCTCAGCTCGGCACCTGTGAAACCCTTCAGCCCTCCTCGAGGCCGCCGCGCACGCTGGCGGACTCGTCAGCTCACCATCTCAAATTACATCAGTAATTAACAGTGCTAGCCGAAACCCGTTCGGTTCCGACTCATGTAAAGAAACAGCCATGGCAAAGGAAACCTTCATTCACGTGATATCGGCCTCTATATCGTTCTCTCTCTCTCTCTCTCTCGCGCGCGTCACGACCTCGGGAGGTGATCAATCTCCGTCGTATATCTTCTGAACAAGCCAGCATAGCTCAACCCAGACGGTATCTCGTACTGGTTGTCCAGGGTGCGTGCACTCACTGAAACCAAGCTCCCCACTCTCGATTGTCCAACGGCGTATACCGACCGTCAGCTTCATAATGTAGCTTGCTTCTGCTATTGTAGGTCACTGGCCCTTGGACTTCAACTGAACTCATCTTCTTGAACTGCACCTCTGCCTCGGGCGAAGCATCTCTCCTGCGTCGCCTCGACGGCGATCGTTCATCTGACTCTGACTTCGGGCCCTGGAGGTTACACCTCGGGTCCCCTTCGGCTCGCACATGTCGAAATGGCGTGGACCACAACCAAGAGTCACCTTGTGTCTCTAAAGGTTGACCCACAACCCTGTCCTGCTTCGCCTTCACCACGAACACGTAGTAACTGAAAACCACTGCCACAATCGTAACCACCAAGTGTGTAACGAAACTCCACCAGTTAAACTCGCTCTTCATGTTCACATTGATTCTGAAACCATCCTCATAGTAGTAATCGCCTGTCGCCTCTGCTCCCGAAATGGTCGTCATTACCGCCAAAACCTTCGTGAGCACTTCTGGGTCCTTGAAAATCGTCGCCTTGATTGAGATCAACCCCAGCGTCTTCATGTGCCTCCTGAGCGTGTCCTTGTCCATCGGTGTCGTTCCTATGTCTGCCACTTGGTCCTTCGCATTGACCTTCACCACCTCCATGTCTCCGTCTCGTACCAGGTCTTGATGCCAGATCCACCTAGCCTGTAGATGTCGTACTCGTCCGACTCCGCGTCTGTGGATCATGCCCTTCGCCGCTGCTGAGTCCGTCTCCAACTCCAGAGTGATCTTGACCTCATCGTTCCTCATCTGCGCTATCTCCTGCAACACGCGCTTGATGGTGAGACCTCGGGCTGCGCCCGAACCCATCGCGTAGAACTCCGACGCCCCACTTGAGAGCGCCACCGTCGCCCGAGATCGTACCCAGCTCTCCAGTAGATGGGCTCCTAGTCGAACTCCACCTGATGAAAGACTCTTGCATGTCGCCTCCTGTCCTGCCCAGTCCGCGCCCACCGACACCGTCACTTTGAACGCCTCCTGCTGATACGGGTAGAATATCACGATGTCGGCCGTGCCCTTCAAATACCTGACCAGACGTTTCTGCTTGAGTACGTGCTTCACCCGCGGGTCATTGCACGAACAACTCTGCTCTCGAACTGCCTCCTGAATACCCCAACGATCCCCAGCCATAGACTGTGCGATGCCACCGCAACTCCTGTACAACATCGAGCTCTGTCGTCCTACTGGGTCTTCAGCTTCTCGAACTCCCTCGGCAGTGTGCTTCGAACTCGGTGTCTCTGCGGGCTTGGCCTGCTTCAGCTCGTACAACTCCACCATCTTCAAGATCAGCTTCGGGTCTGGTAGAATGCCGAAGCCCTCCTCGCCCCAAAGCACCGTTCTGTTGAGAAACGTACCTTCAGCTGCTCCTCCTGGTCCCACTCTCGGTTGAGACTTGACCTTAAACCTATTGGCCATGAGCTTATCGAACTCATCCAGCTCCTCGCCGTAAGCCTCCACCACAAAGTCGTCTCCGTGTCCAGCACAGAGCGAGTCCTTGCCAGGATGGTAGTACAAGCAGCACACCGTCTTCAACTCCTCGTACCCGTTCTGTGAGAAGTTATCTCGGACTTCTCCTTGAAATAACATCGACGCCTCTGGCGTCCCATACATCGCCTTCTGCAACTTCCAAAGCATCCCTGGTCGTCGCTGTTCAGGTGGCGGCCAGCAGTACTGGGGCTCCTTCAGCGACGCGTGAAAGAACGCCACTGAGATGTCATATAGACCAAGCTTCTTCCTCCTCGACTCAGTCGTTCTCGTTGAAGCTGCTCTCGAAATCACCAGCTTAACGGCCCATAGTGCGGGTGTCCCTGCGAAATGCGAAGGGTCGGTCCCGTCGCTATACCTTCTGTGAACACATCGGCTCCTCACGATCCACTCGTTGTTCTGTAAGTCGTACTTCTTGCTGTCGATCCACTTGGTGTCGAACGGCTTCATCCAGTCCTCAAGTGGTACCCACTCAAAGACCTCAAACTCCTCCATGCTCGTCATTTCCTTCGTCCTGCCGTTGATGACCAGCTCCTTCAACAACTCCTCGCCTGTGTACGCGTCTCTGTAGACTCCGTCACCCACCAGTTTGTCATAGTTCACCCTCGGCTCCAACTCCTCGCAGACGGGGCGGCCCTCCTCCTTCGTGATCGACATGGTGATGCCTATCTCCATCGCCTCTTCCCGTCCTGGCGTAGTAGGTGCCACATCTCCTCCTGCTACGATCGCGTTACCCGTCATCTCTGCGTCTTGCTCGATCTGTAGCTCCTGTCCGACATGATGACCAACCGGTGTACCTGGAGCTCGCTGACCTGCTTCTTCAAGTCGTGGTTCTGCTACTCTAGCA